GATAGTGCCGCGAGGAGGTCATGCTAGATCCCCGACAGCGAACCCTACGATTCAAATTGCGTGTCGGTCCTTATCCGAGGCTCGCCTGTCCCTCCTCTACAAGCTTTCCTTTCTTAGACATACGTCCTATCGTGGGATCCTCGTGGAATCCTCCTATGAAGTATCACTGGTTCTCACCAATGTTAGTTACTTATTGGTAGCATAAAAGTTGCTGAATTCAGCCACATTCGATAATCCATTACTCTATAAAATCTTGTGATTTCCATGCGATTGTTACTGATTTATTTGTAAGTTAGAGGGGCTATAAATGAGCGCTCAAAATCGTTCGACCTTCATTTCTTCTAGCTTTTGATTTGCTTACCTGCTAAGGTTTATCATGTAAAGCTTATAGGAGCCTATGGTGATCAGCCATCGCACCTCGTTTGTAGATGTGATTCTAACAACTCGTAAGTGAGGTGAATTTGAAGTTAACCGCCGAAAACACTCTGCCAGCCTTCCATGTTAGTGAGCTGCAAACCTCATAACGCTTATGATGCTTACAGATGAATTAGACGTTTCTGAACTGGCAGCACTGAAGCGTTTATTTGTATTGAGATGATTGTGTAGGGCCAAAAGAGAAAAAATGAGCTGAAAAAAATGAAAATGAGTTGCCTCGCCGGGGTTCGGCTCGGCGCGCGGTCAAATCTTCTAAACGTTCAATGAAACACTTTCTCTTTTTCTTGTTAGAAGGACAGTTCTTCCACCGCAGCGTACTTATCAGGAAGACCCTTTTAATTACCCAGTGCAGATCGATGCAGCTCTTTTCAGCGGGACATTATTCCAAGATGGTGAAGAAGTGTAAAAATGTGTCGTTAAATTGACTATTTTGGAAAAAAGATCGTGTTGGAGGTACCGCCAATTCGCCGCAAAGGTAGGAAAAAGTTGTGGAGAAAAAGGGAACCTATATCAGCTCTGCAGTGAAAAAAAATTTTCAAGCAAGGAGGCGATTCAAATTAAGATAATTACCCAATATTTGCCATCAGCGCAGTTTGCTTTCTTCGTAGTTTCGAAAGGTGAGGGCTGTATATGTTTCTAGCAAAAAAGAGGGTTAACGTGATGGTTTTGCTGCAGCCCGGCCTTTTTCATTAGCCTTAGGATTCGGCTATTGAGTGGTCCTTTCACTGGCTAACAACCTAAGAACAATCCACGCCAACTTCCATGCCAAGATTAAGAGAAAGTCGTTTTTGGACTATTCTGAAAAAAGGTTACCTTGAAGAGACACTCGACTAATCATCATCACATCCATGCCCAAAATTCAACACAAGGTGATAAATCTGAACTTTGCGCTTAACGCAGTTTTGTTCGAAAGCTATACAAGATCAGTTGCCGCTGGTCTTCCATCCTTTGAGGTGGAGGCATGGAGAATCTAAGTCGAGATCGCTGACGCTCTACGCTTTTTGCTCGATTTCATTCGCAGACCAAATAGTCTAGGTTTTCTTGATGCTCGCAAAGACCTGATGCGTCACCCGATTCAGGACAAGATTCGGGAAGAAAATTGCACTGGTCTGGAGAGTGACGTCAGTTAGATTCAATTCAAACCTATCCTATCTTAACCGGGGTAGACAGCTGGCAGGTTCTATGTACATTAATCAACTCCAAATTTATATATTCGTTCTTTGCATTCAACAAGATCCAGAAGAAAAGCACAACAGACAAGAGATCCACTGTCAATTTCATCTCCAGTCTTCATAACCAAGTATGTGAGAAATGATCTCCTTTCATTCAGATCATTGACCAAGCGAGGTTAAAGGACTCCAGACGACATGGGGTCGAGCAAAGAGGAAATATAGCATCTTGATAGGGAGGCAGGCTCCTGAATGTGTATAGCTACGCACGTTTTGCAGTGAAGTTACGACATCATGCGCCGTACCGACGACAGCTCTGGTCACCTCATGATGGTAAAAGTGCAAGGGGAGGGTCGTAGTTGTTAATTTTGTTGGGGCGTCGTGACATTTCCGGGAGCACGAAATTGCATGTGATAAAGTGAAGGTTGTGGTGGAAATATAGGTAGAAAGTGAAATATGGGTAAAATAGAGGGAAAATGAGGGAAAAGTAAAGGGAAATGGAGGAAATTTTTGCGAATTCATGGTAGTTCTATACCCTCCCGCTCGACGGTGTTTTTAGGGGGAAATATAAGTTGTGAAGAAGGGGTCGTATGAAATCTGTGATGAATTACGGGTCATAAAATTTCGCGAAAAGTCCAACGATAGGACCGTGGCTACGCTACCCAATAACTGATCTAGTCGTTCCTGGTTTCTAGCCGGGACCCCTCTGCGCCTTGCAGCGAGATTGAAGCAGAGCGTTCACTTATGGCGTCAGCGTCTCACCACGGAAGTCACGGGGAGGAAGGTGATCTCATTTCACGGCTTTGAGACCGCTTACCTGAGTTTTTCTACGCCTCTTTATAATTTGACTACTCTACATGAGGGGGCCGACACTCTTATTATAAATCGCGGCCTTTCGTGATGCAGCGGAAATAGCTCTAGTTGTACAAGGCGTACTTAAATATAAATCGTAATACTCTCTTTAGGTTGGCATCAACCTAAATTTGTTACATATTTTGAAAATGGACCTTCACATGAATCTTGAACTCAAGAATGACAGGAGGATAATTAGGTTCAAAAGTGTTCGTTGATATCTAAAAAAGAATAGTGTGTCTGGGATATCGTGGGAGGGTGGAGGAGGTTGAATGTGAGAGGATTGATGAATCCTTGGGGAATTGCGTGGTGACGCTCACATATTACTTTTCGACGTATTGTTTCCAATCTAGTCCCTGAAAACGTTGAGAATCTGAATACTTCACTTAGTTTCCTCTTATTTTTTCTTACAGTTCCGAGGAGAGAAATATCTAGTGTATTGATCCCGAATATAGAACTGGTTACTGCAATAGCTGCTGCCAGTTGACAATGTGCCTTATATTGCAAGAGCCTTTCTGACTATGATTTTCTTGGAGCACCATTAAAGGCCAGCTAGAGAAAAATTTAGTTCAAGCAAGGCGAAGAAGTACTTCCTTAGGTTACCTAATTTCAGATACCAAACTCAAGTAACTTCTGATATAATCCCTAATTCGGATAACATCCATGCTCTAGAAGTGATGTGGAGCCTACACTAGCTTTTTAAAGTCATGTCGGTGTACATTTTACTGCTGATCTTTGGCGAAGTTGACTAGCACCTTGTTTCGCGGAATAATGTGGGTTCAAATTTAATTAGTTAAGGAAGCTCAGATCTGGTTGGATGAAATATGTCAGTGTAAAAACATCAGCATTGTGTTTTAAGGCGCGCATTTGGCGCTTATGACAATACCAACGCGGCCTTATCCAGCCTTTTTAGCCATTGTCCTGACTCGATCATCCGAATGAATATTTTTACAGCCCCATAATAGTTAGGCGATTTCCGCCACTTTTCACATTCAAAGTGCTATTTGACTGCCTGAGCCTAGCTGTTGGCTCTTCCAGCATCAGCATATGAAGCCGTGTCACCAAGGTACAAGGATTAATGTCCTGCTGACCCCTAATGCCTTTGGTTTACCTTACGTTGCCTCAAGACGGGTGCAGATAATGCGCATCATGCAGAAAGTGCGAAAAGCGTCAATGCACAATGCTGGTGCATATGTTCAGGGCAGCTGTCAGAAGCGCCTCACCAACCTATATTGACGTCCTTTCCACATTACATGCACAGGTGGAAAGCATGGGCAACCCTGTGTAGGATATCAATACTAATCGCACAGTGGCCATTTGGCTTTGCACAAAACCTGCAGAGTACGAAATCATTCTAAAAACAAATTTCATGCAACCTCCTGCTCTTGAGCTCACAGGACTTCTACCAAGATCTTCATGACACAAGCTCTTCGCACTGTCTATTTGTTTCAGCGTCTAGGGTAAGAATTGATTTTCCCAGTGCATCATTTTAAGTGCGATCATAGCTAATTATGGATAAGCTTACAACCAATAGAGACATATGTAATGATCACCGGAAAACTTTCTGAAACTTCAGAATGGTGAGAGGGTTGAGTATTTTTACTTCTTAGCCCAAATCTTGACGTATGATGACCGGCCCTTCATTTGATAAGTTTCGCTTCAATAGCGTTTTTAATCTATGCCACAGTCTGCGATGGCAAGTTATTAAAGGAACACTAAGCAATAGAATCAGTGGCTTTATATGTGTTTTTCGATTCCACTTAATCCGGCGAAGACGTCGCTGACCGATCACAAGCACTATCACTCAAAACGTTTTAACCGACAATAAATCTAAAAAAGGTGGAGGCTGGAAGCATATCATGGATACTGACAATGGATCACAGCGCTGAACCTGCACACTGCGGAATAAAAACTGTTCTATCCTGGAACTACTGCATCTGTCAGGAAAACTAGCTTGTTCCCGTGTTCACAACGTTTATTCAACAGAATCCAGAGAATCGGCGTGAAAAGCTTTGCTGTTCGTTCCTGTTCGCTAGTCGGATAAACAGTGAGATGTTCTTTGAGTCTGACTAGATGATCAATCCTTGTAATAAAGTCTTTTTATTAGTTCTGTATAATTTCAGATAATTGTACAAATACGTGAAATTTCATGGGTGTATGCGCGAACGAGACAAAGGCGCATTCAGGGGTACACCAACGACGATCTATCGGCGTGAAAGTAGATGGTTAAGATGACGTTTAAGTTAACAATAGATGCTAAAGCAATCAATATCAATCGATAAGCTTGGGATGTCACCCAATATGGATTTACCAGGATGGTAAAATGTTGATATTCGAGAAGAAGACGATTCAATGATGATCCTTGAAATTACATATTACGGTATTGAGCTGGTGTCGCTTTCTCTGCGGGAACTTCGCTCAGTCTGAAACATAAGTTAGTTGGCATCAGATGCGAACTGTTGGGGGGGGGGATCAAGAACCACTTCTCCATTCCTCTTTGCTCTTCCTTCAGTCACTCTGCTAGTATAAATGAACCATGAGTATCCTTAGCCTCTCTTATGAGCTAGTATTCTTTCACGGCTGAGTGAATTATCGGTCGAAAAATGTCCTCACAGCTTGTCGAGGATCCTTGCCTGATCAAATCACACTCGCCATGCGCGAGTCGTCTGTGTTCTCCGCGTGTAAGTTCTCTCTTCTCACTATTTTCTAATACAGTACAGAGCAATGGTCGAGGATTAACTAGATCCGTTATCCATCCTGCTTCACAATAGCTATCTATATGAGGGGGTTAGGTATACAGGGTGGACGGAAATTATGATAACCCCGTGCGCTCGCAGAGAGTTATTTTCACAAACTTTTCATTCACTTATGCTTTTCTTACGATGCATATTTTTTGAGTTTTCTGCTGTCATGAATCACCTTAAGAGGCTCATTGTACGCTGAAGTTGGCTAGCACACGATTACCAGAAACGTCCTGCAATGATCAGGAACGCGGTGGGCAATACCTCTCAAAGTTTGCAGAATTTTCGCGGATGACACCCTCCGGAGCGGGATTGATGTGGGCAGCTACTAAGCGTGATAGCCCAAGCTAATCTCAAGAGAATTCGCTTCCACTGCGATCGTACTCGGCTACCGTGCCTCAGAAGTGCTGAAACCGAAGCCTGGAAAGCCGCTCAGGAGCTCAGAGTTTACTGCGGGACCACTCCTGGAGCAGTCCAGGAACAGAAATTTCGCCACGATGAATGCTTTCCAAGTGGCTCAAGTCCCTTCACTTGTAGAACCAGATCAGTGGATTCGAGTTAAGGCTGAATATGATTACTCATTGGACATTGAACAAAACTTTGTTGTGGTAAATCCGGGTTTCAGCGGGAGCGGCGCTATACAGATAATCTTTACACTGTGTTTATTCTGATTATACCAGAGTAAACTTAAGCCGATGCTGGCTAAATTGCAATTTTAGATCCTGCGAAAGGAATTCAATTAGAAGAGTGAAGGAACATTTTGCTCCCTATCGTCTGCAGGCTGAGCAGAAGGATTGAAGTGTTCAGTCGTGATCGCGAGCTCTCCAACAAAGCGTCGTTAGCTCCCTTGTGTCGACACAATTTCTTAATGCTTAACATAATACTCACGGTTTCTTTTCGACTATGTGGATCTCCCTTAGTTGTCCGTCAGGATTGCGGTCATCGAGAATCTGGAATTACTACTTTCATTAGAGAAAATCAGTACAGGGATAAAAAGATGAAAGTCGAATTAGCAATACTGTCAAACGTCTTTGCTCATGCAGGAGGTTACGCCTCTGTTGGCAGATTCATGAATGTCCTTACAGCTAAAAAGCCGATTACATCGAAAAAGAGGTAGGACAAAACTTATGGTTTTGCGAAAATTGTGAAAGCATGCTATAAGCGTGTGGTAAATAATGCTCAAAAAAGCGATGCCGGCTGGATTGCTTCGAACTATCATGAATCCGCAACTAGTTGTAGGAAAAGCGATTAACTGAGAGGCGCAACACTGGCAGTGTCATGATCTTATAAGTGGTGGAGAAGGGCAGGAGTAGATGGAGGAATGGATGCATGCCTGTATCCGCAGCCATCACCAGAGAAGCTATCGATCACTCCCCCGATAACTTGATCATCGAGCACTATCACCTTCTCTTGAAAATTTGCGTCTAGTTAGTAAGTTGTATGCTAGTCGCTCAATGCAGTACTGGAGGAGTTCTAGCTACACAACCGACATCGTCACCATAATTCTCATTCAGTGACTTAGAAGCATCTCCCCGGCAAGCTAGTGCGGTTGGTGCTACGGACACGAAAGTAGTTTGCGCAAAATTGGCCAGCAGTAAGGAAAACAAGGGAAACTGTTGTGGAGAACGCTTAGGTCTACGGCTCTCTCACCTTTGAAAAGCGACTGTGCCAACGAGAGAAAGCGCGGAGTGTAGAGTATCGGGCAAGAGATTGGAACACATGGCAGGGCGCTAAACCAGTTTGCTGTGATGGTACCCCGCATAGGCCCGTCGCTGCGAGGAGACGAAAGTCGCGTCTGCTTCCTTGCAGTCGGTGGAGAGTTGCAGCGCGTGGTGTGCGATGTAGGACGTGCAGTGGGACACCCTATTTGACTTGACGCGAAATCCCTATAGCGCGCGCGCGACTCGTCCGCTGACTTTGCCTTCTTGCCGCGCGACGGGCCTCCTGGGGTTACCCCCGCTGTGGATGGGCAAACACCTGCGCTGTTTGCAGTAACTGCAGGCGTTATGCTTTTGTCGAGTGGTTTCTATGCACGGGAAAATCACATCTGTAATTACTCTTTGGGGGGGGGTAGGGAGCGGGCTATACTCAATTTCTAACGATTCTGCCTGGGTTGTGCTGAAGTTTCTTCATTCCTTTGTGGTGGGTTTTTTAGAATGAAGCATGAAGCAGTAATCCTAATAAATGAGGTAACAAACTATCAAGCAAAAACATGCTGGGCTACATAGCTCTTACGGAAGGTCTTTCAGGGTGTGCCAAGCTTTTTCGAAACGGTCTTTTGCATGAGACAGAGGCACAGTGGGGACCGCAGAACCATGGTTAAATTTTCCTGAACGGCCCTTGAATAACCAGAAAAGGGGTCCCTAGTCACACCTTTTTCACCAGTTTTTCAATCAAAGTCTATTTGTAAGGGTTACTGACGTTCCTAATCATGAATTTGGTACTAATTATTCATGCTAACTCCATTTTGCGCGAATTTGGAAACGTCAACACGAAATGCAAAACTTGTCACCACGAGGAATCGAACTAGGGACCCTTTTCTGGTATTCAGAGAGCCGTTCAGGAAAAATGAACCATGCTTCTGTGGTCCCCATATGTGCCCCAATGTCATGCAAGAAACCATTTTGAAAAAGCTTGGCACACCCTGAACGACCTCCCTTGTTAGAGTAGCGGATATAACAACCCAACATGAAAAGTCCTTTTTCACTTTGAATTTCAGCCCTTACCTTCCTTCCTTCCCTTCCAAAGTCTCTTCCTTCAGCGAATAATGATTTTGTGATTAGGTTTTTGGAGGACTCAAGAAATTTCTCCCTATTTCGCAGGTATTAGGTTGTCTCATAAGTAGTGACGCTTTTTTTCGAACTAAAAATTTTCCTCTGAATCCCCATGCTTTGACACTAATTCATATACCATTCGAGAGAAAATTGTCTGCACTACAAGCTAGTGCCATGTTTCTCTTCCACCGTTGTTGAAGGGTTTTCAAAATTTAGGCCTGCGAAATGGGAAGTCCTGACGAGGAAAAATTGCCTAACCGACAGCTAGATCTAACTTTATCTTCGCCTTTTGTAGAAATCAATCAATGATGGTACCCTCCTACTGTACTAATCGACTCTTCCAAACTCCCCTTCATTATCTCTTAGTTCCGAAAAAGCTTCCCCGTGTTTCTTTTTGAATTGGTTGACCAATGAGCCATAGGAATTTCCGAATTTGAAATTTTTCTTCTGAAACAACATTGTTTTATATCAAGTAGTGTTTTATTGTGACAGTACCGCTTCTGCTCTATTCGCCCATTTGTTTTGTTTTTATATTTGTTGTGAATTAGTTCGAATTTTAGGTTCGCGCGGTAAGGTGTTTTGTCGACGAAAGTGACCGCATTACTTTGAAAAAATTTACCCGAGAAGTGAGAAAATCAACCCAGGCGTAGTTCCTAACTTAGCATATGACTTGTCTTGAAATGCTACAAGACTTTGAGTGTCTCGGCTGTAAAAAATTTTGAGGCCGCATCTCAACTAACGATGCTCGACCGTCGAGTTGTAGTTGAAAAACCAGGTCTGGAAAAGGAGCGGCAGCGACTTCTTAGGGAACCTAATAGTAGAATGTTAAGAAGAGGTCATGTGTAAGTAGAGGGTACATCATTGATTGATTTCTCCAAGGGAAGATAAAGTTAGAGCTAGTTGTCGGTTTGGTCAATTTTTGTCGGCCGGACCTCCCATTTCGCAAGCCCTAAATTTGAAAACCCTGGAACAAGTGGTGGAAAGTTGTCTTAGCTTCTTGGTAGTGAGACAAATTCTCTTACGAACGTTATGACGCGTGTGAAAAGCATGGAAATTTAGAAGCAAACTTTTTCGGTGTGAAAAAGCGACATTACCTACGAGACAACCTAATACTATAGGAAAATCAATGGGATTTCATGGAGGTTTCATATTTCCTAACTATTAGTTCAAAGAACTAGAATGTAGTGAGAAAGGGGACACGAGTTGTATCTCTATTAGGAATTGTCATGACACTGCCCTGAACTGAAAACAACGCGTCAAATATGTACTGCACCCCATCGCACACAGAATCTTTACCGGCTCTCCCTTCCACCAAAGCAGTTCCAAGCTCTCCGTGGACTTCAATAATCAACTTTGAGTTTTGATTTCAATACATCGCAAACAGTAGTACTCTACTCGGCTCGATTTGCAGTGCGAAACTATGCCATTGGTTTGTGGCAGAGGTGATTGACAGGAAAGGGTCACCTTGTGAATGTAGGTGGTGTCTGGATCATCGGGTATGTGGAATCCAATGAAGAACTCGTACATCCATGCTCCAAGCAGGGCTCCAAGCATTGGGACAAATGATCGGAATCCAGAACCACTTGTAGCTACGATAGCTGTAAAATGGATTTGTAAGTTATAAATAAGGGAAATGGATGGAAAAACTGTTGTCAAGAATGCCAGAGACTACATTTTACAGTGTAACAATTTGTAGGAAACTCAAAACGCAACCTCTCTTTGCACGTCATTAATCAGTTAGATAACTAATGATTACTGATATACACTCCACTCGTAACCAGCGCGAGAGGAAGAGCTTTGGACCGCAATCATCGAGGCGGATTTATTGCTACCTGAAGGCATTTTCCGAGTCATCAGTAGTTTGCCCTTTTTCAATAGCGTCAGCATTCTTTTTCCTGTTTCCTGATGGAATGAAACACAGAGGCTGGCGCTTACTCTGTTTCAGCCTCATCAGGAAAAGGGATGCTGATGCCATAGAAAAAGTGCAAAGCAACTTTACACACGAAATTTTTCTCCGATAGTAGAATTTTCCTTTATATTGATAAATATTATGTACATATCTGGTGTATGCATGGTTTTATAAGCTTCCGCACAGTGTACTGGGTTTGCTCATTCAAATTTTACAAAACTTCACATTCGCGAACCAGAGCGTCCAATAAAAATATTCCTTGCCAGGCCCCAAACAAATGTAGAGTCAAGAAGCTCCACATTTCGAGCTGAAAGTTTATACAATACAATTACCAAAAATTTAGTGCTTCTCTGGTTTAAATGTCGCAAGCGGAAATATCTTGTATAGTTTTCAAACGCGCCAACTTCCTGCTTCCTTTAGTAATTTTGGCTAATTTCTTACTTGCTATTTACTTAGGTTCGTGTTTGGCTTTCATTTTGTTTCCTATGATTATTTTTATTTCCTTTCTTGCGTTTGCCTTAGCATAACATATAGCAGTGCTTCCGCTAGTCAGGATGGCAAAATATGCTGCAGGGCAAATAAGAGTAATTCAACCCAGCTTATGGCTATCTGATAAATGGGGCCTGCCATGGAAGCTTTATTTATTTATTATTTATTTATTTATTTATTTATTTATTTATTTATTTATTTATTTATTTATTTTGTATTGCACCAATGGTGTGCAACAAATGGGCAGAAAAGTGATATTAGTTCGACACCAGTACTTACACTAAATAAGCAAACAAGCAGATAAACACGTATAATGACTAAAGGAAAAGGAAAAAATTCGTCGATTATATGTTGTCTAAATTTCCAGCTCTGCGCAGCAAGTACCTGAATCATTACGGCGCATCCTGTTTTGCGATCTTCCAGTAGTCAGGAAAATATCCTGAACATGCACAGATCCCCTATTATGGAAAATGACAGCCAGTGGATTGATGAGTTTGTGCCTAAGCCCATCTCGATTACGGACTTCCCACCAGGGTCAAACCTACGTTGTTACGAGTAACAACGGGGGGGGGGTCGTACCTGGTTGAGTTTGTAGGAGGGGGGTCGTACCCACTTTAGTCGCTCGAAATCACGTGTGGGATTGAGGTGAAACTAAGATTTCGTGGGTAGTAGGCTGGGCGAGTGGAGGGCGCGCAGGATAAAAATTTGCCGTTTCAGCGGGCGTATATATCCCCCTAGAAAAGGAAGTAGTGGGAGTATAGGTCGTATGGGTTCGTATAGTGGAAATGGATGGGAAAAAAGGTAAAAAAAAATGGGGTTGAAATGGTGGAAATAGAAGGAAATTTTCGGAGATATTTACCGTTTCAGAGTGACTATATACCCCCCCGCTCGACGGCATTTTTGGAGGAAAAAGTGGGCGGGGTTTTGATGGAAGATGGAGATGGTGGAGGTAGGGAAAAGGGGGTCGTATCAAATCCACGTTGGGGGAGGGGGGTCGTAAAAATTTTTCGAAAAGTAACAACGATAGGACAGACCCTGCTTCCCACACGATTGTGAGTGTGTCAGTAAAGTTAACGTTGAGAAATTTCGCAGTCTCAGTAGGTTCAGAGGTGAGCAGCCCTTCCACTCAATGAGGTAAGGCGGTCCCGGTTCGATTACTGGACGTGGCAAAAAGCCTTGCCCAAACAGCATTTATTTATAACGCCTCAGTAGTAGAATAAATACTGGAACATGCTTAGAGTTAGGTATTGAGAAAAGAGAATATTTAGAGTATTTTGTAAAAGAAACTAGGCTTTTGGGATCTCTGGGATTCTAGAACTTGTCTCGCTCACCTGCATTCAACGCGAAAGCCATTCCTATCACGGCCAGGAGTGTTCCGATGAAAGCCGGCTGTAAAAACGGTGGAATACGGTTACGTCGATCTGTGATTACCGCCACGCCTAGGCGAGAACCGCAGTGCCGGCAATCTGAAGATGGGTTTATAGCGTTACTAGTAAAAAAAAGGTCTTCCAGGGTGTGGTTTTTAACGGTCCTTGCATGGCATAAGAGTCCTCATGCTCTGCAAAAGTGAAGTTCATTTTCGCTGAGCGGGCCTTGAAGGCCAAAGGCGATCGAAAAAACATCCGCCTGGAACGGGTGGTTTTACCCAGTTTGAGTTAAATTCTCACTGGAAGGGTGATGGTTCTGTAATGAATGTGAAACCTGTTGTTGGCGGTTATTAGGCGCAAAGCTGTAAGCTCCAACCTATAATGGAAGAATTTGTCATCATGGAAAACCTTAGACTGTAAGCTCCAACCTATAATGGATGAATTTTGTCATCATGGAAAACCTTAGACCATCTTTCACGACTATTTGGCCTTCAAGAGGCCGCTCAGTGGAAACCGACTTTAGTTTTGTAGTCTGCCAATAGTTCAGTTCCTATGAGATGAAAAAAACCTTTTCGGAAAGCGCTCCATGCCCTGAACGGCCTTCCTCGTGAGGCGTTATACAACACGGGCTTACGGAAGTCATCCATATTTTGGTTCATAAACTTTGTACTTCGATGCACTAGCACATTCGACTGGGTTTTGGTTTTAGTTCGAAGGTTGTTCATCCAACCGTTAGATATTAATTCATGTTTCTGGGTTCTGAGGCGCAAGAGCTCTTTCAGGCACTTCCTGATGCACGATGCATACTTAGGCGATCTTGGACCTGGACAAGTAAATGTGCTGAGGCTAATCTTCTTGATATTTAGGCCAAGCAAAATTTCCATCGCTGCTGTTAGAGATTCCGCCTTCATAGGAAGTTTCTCGATCGCGCACATGTACCGACTCCTTTTGTTCACGTTGGTTCTACGTAGACTCTACCGCAACGTGCCCAAACTCTAACTGTCTTATCTTCATTACAAAGGAAGATTAGTTTCGAACTGATTTTTACATTCAACCTGGGTTGAAATTGTGGATGCTTTCGCGCGCTCTATGTGGTTTCTCTGACTTGAGAATTGACTTCCCGGCCTTGCAGTGAGACTACACTTTTTTCTGCAACAGATTTGGGCCTACCTGATCGATAACACCGCCGAAAGTGCTAAGGTGTGGTTGCGGGTACGTAGCGAATATGTGAGCCGTAGAACGTGGTCCTGACACATAACGAGTGCCGTTGTCGAAGCTGCTGATGCCATCTACAATTGTCTTCTAGTAATTTAGAGCCTGCTGATTCTTCTGAAGTGGTGTAGCTGCATACGACTTGCTGGTGAAACTCCGGCAGGGGCCACTCATTGTTATCTTATCCGCAGTACTAGAGAGCACTCCTTTGGACTTTAGCCCTTGGATACGATAATAGGTGGACAGCTAATTTCAAATGCAGTTTTTATGAGGTCCCACATCACGCAAATTCTGCTCACAGCCTTAGCAATTTGTGACATGTGATCGACCACCCTGGGCTTCTACGCCATTGCACCTGGGAGAGTACTTCCCCTTCAGTTCAAGAACATTCACTTAGACCATAGTAGGGCGGGACCTAAAGCACCTTGTGAGTATTACGGACTACACCGGTCTTTGTCAAAAGTAATTTGAAATGAATCGATTACGTGTCATAGTAACTTTTACCTTGTCCTTTCAGGGAGAGCACAATGGAGTGCCCCCCTTCCTAAACTGGAGTTTCACCGGCATTGCTTATAATGCGCATGGGTCAAATCTAAGACCGAATCCCATCCGGGGCAATCGAATGTACACTTTCAGAAATATATTAGTATATCATACTCGTATAGGGGGAGAGAAGCACAGACTTGCACATTGGCTGGCCTATCGGCTTTTTTCCCGAGGAAGATTCCTTTAACACCATGGCTACCCCACAGAAAGATCTCACGAAATGCTTCACTCAAGGTATTTCAATATTGCGAGTGTTATCGCAACCATGATATCACGCTACAATAGTGTCTCAAAAGTGAACTGTACCTTAGTCATATAAGCGGTTGTTTCCCCTCCCCCCTCCCCCTCTCCTCGCCCCTTCCCTGCCCTCCTGCGCCACGGCAGCACCATGTAAAGTGACCGTGTGTGTTGATCAATGTTCATATAGCCGTTTTCGGTGTTATCCCTATCACGACCTCAAGATCACGAAGCATTGATATCGCAGGACCTTCGACATCCCAAGTTCGCTTATCGTTAGCACTTGGTTTTCTCCATTCGTTACCTTCGGGTACGCGACAGGAGGCCCGTCGCGCGGCAAGAAGGCAGAGTCAGCGGACGAGTCGCAGCGCGTGATGTGCGATGTAGGACGTACAATGGTACATTCTATTTAACTTGACGCGAAATCCTACAGTACGCGCTGCGACTCGTCCGCTGACTCTGCCTTCTTGCCGCGCGACGGGCCTCCTGTCACGTGCACTCTGTGTCAGAAAAAAACAATGACAGTGTTTCAATTGAAGACGCGATTGAAAAATTTGTTGAACCATAACTAGCGGAGGGAGGAAGGAAATGGCACCACTTACCGTAATAGACGATGAATGTCGATAAGGCACCAAAGAATGCACCGATATTTTGCGCCACGGTGAACACGATGAACCTTAAAAATGACTATTGTGGTGTCTTATGGGTAGTTTACCAGAAAGGCGCTTTGAAGTTCTTGGTTAGTGCAAAAATTGTGATTACCTCAACGCGTTGATCTTTCCTTGTGAGAGGAGGAAGAACGAAACCGCAGGATTCAAATGCCCACCTAAAATTGTTGAGGATTCATGTGCACATTGGACAAGTTCACAGTGAACATCTAAGGTAGCCTGTTAACGGCGTATGAAGTCGACCAAAACAGTGCAAAAGCCTTTTTCCTCTGGCCTTTCTAACCTCTATAAGGCAACAAAGATTCTTCCACTTCACTCTGCGGACCAGGGTGAAAATCTTGTCGAGGACGTGGTCGCAACAGTACGACCCCCTCCTTCAGATCGGGGTCTTGATACGACCCCTCTAACTTTGATTTGATGTGAATAAGCGAGTTCCATCAATGTACAGCAAAGCATTCAGTTGCAGCGCGGTTTATCCGTGGGTCAGATTTGCCGAAACCCCGCTCGAAACCGTCGAAATCTACACTCTCGATGAAAAGGTTCCATTCCCCATTTCATAACCTTTGGAGCAGTATGTGGTAGGGTTAGATAGAGCTGGATTTGCTACTACCGGGCAATATTGAAATTGATCTAAAAGCTTTACACTCGAAGAGATAGGGTCTCTCAAATTTTGTCGAGGACGTCGAGGATGCTGAATTTTTCATGC